AAGTCAGACTAAGATAGGTGTCGTTGTAATGTGAGAAATTAGGTCAGTGTTAATCTGTTTTTTCTCTGCCCTGAACAGGGCACAAATGTCAGTAGCCGATGGCCCTTAACTGTTTTTTCAAGCACCAAAAAGTCTCTGCGTCAATTTTTTTGATTGGCCAAATTATTTTATTTTCCGGCGTTTCTTTCTTTTTTATTTTTTATAACGGAATTTATGCGTGGAGCCTCCTTGATTTTTGGTATATTTCAGTCACAAATAAGTAGTCTCTGATTCTGTAAACTTACGTTGTTTTTGGCAAGTTCAGTCTTTTCTTCATCTCCCTCTTTTTATTTGAGGGTTGCCTTCTCGTAGGTTGAGAGAAGTATAGAAAGAGAGGTACAGAGAGAGAAAGAGATAGAGAGAGAGAAAAGAAAGAGAGAAAAGAGAAAGAGAGGGAGAAGTATAGAAAGAGAAGTTTAGAGAGGTAGAAAGAAAGCGATAAGGGGTTAAAAGGAAAGCACATACGTCTTATTTTAATTTTAATTTTTTTTATTTTTGTTTATAGATTTTATTTTTTATTTTATTTCTATCAGGACTCGCTACAAGTCTATAAGCACTTACTTGGTTTGGAAATAGTTAAATACTGGTCGTTTATATTGGAGTCTGTGGGAATTTACTTTAGGCATAAATAAATATTGGTAGTTTATATTTGAGTCTATAAACATTTAGTTGATATGTTGGCCCTTTGCAGTGGATACAATCCGCGTATTCTAGGCCCAGTCGATAAGGCAGAAATATAGTTTTGCTTTCCGTAGTTCAAATTGTTGTAATCCTGAATAGATAGCCGCTAGTGTTACTAGTAAAGGTGTCTACTGTGGTCATACTTCAAACTACCGAAATGGAGATTTCTCCAGACTGCCATCAATATCCGCTTTGTTAACGAACTTTTTGCCGAATTCCAAAGGACTCGCTATTTATTTCAACACACAACAAATTGGTGAAATAACTTGAGCATATTGCTACAAATTGGTGACCTCTGACAAGACTTTGTATAAAGAAACTGATAACACTGATTCGTTTTTACGGCTTATCAACTCTTTGCAGGTTATTTAAAACCAAAAAATAGTTTTAGATTGTAAAATTATTTTTTGAGATATAATGGTTTAGGGATACAAGTCTTACTAATTAGCCCATAGCTGGGGGGGAGAATAGGTAGATTCCACCTTTCCAAAGGGTATTTGCGCATAAGTGAATATAATGAACCCAACTGGAATTGGAACTTGGTTCTCCGATTAACAATTCCAGAGTCATTATTCATTACACCAACCGCGCATTCAAACTTGCAGCACTTAATAGTCACCCATCTAGGTACTGACTAAACTTGTCTGATCACACTGAGATTATTGAAGCAACATATCATATGTATAATGAGATTAAAATTGCTATCTATTTATCCTTTGGTTTCAACTATCAGCGGTCGAACTATTTATAGCAATCCCTCAGCGACATGGTTATTCAGATGATGGCCAAGAGAAGCGGTAAAGTGCTTCTTTTAAGTGAACGTTAAGTTCTATACTTAATATGCGCAGTAAAAGGTTATGCTGGGGTTGCTAAGATCTACAGTAGGGGTTCCTAAAAAAAAGAGAGGAAAGAAGAGGAACAAACAACAAACTCTTCTTTTTCTTAACTTTAATGATTGCATTTTCTTCCTATTTCAACAAGAGTCAATATTTTAAATATAGGTCATTGTTAATCTTCAACCGTTTTTAATTTCTATTTAGACTTGTATATGTTATGACTTCCGTTCCCCCCACTCTTCAATTCGTGTCTCTTTTCCTTTTTTCTCTATCTCTCTATTAAACGTAATTTCCCTTATTTGTTGTTTGTTCCTCTTCTTTTCTTCTTTCTTCTCTTCTTTTTTTAATTTTCATTTTTCAATTTTTTTTAAAAAACGTTAAAATTCATTTTTTAAACAAACGTTTTAGCATTGACAGGCCCCAGGGAGATTATTCCGGAGTTGGGGAACGAAATGGCCATCAAAATGGGGTACAGTTGAGTTTCATTTTTATGTAATTATATATATATATATATATATATATATATATATATATAAACGCGACGGGAGAATCGATTTTATATATATATAATTTAGTTTTATGACCAAGGTTAATTGTATGGTTAGGGTTAGCCTCGTAAGTGTTGAGAAAAAAATTAAACGATGTTTTGTTTATAGTTATCAAATTAAAAAGAATATCGTCGTCGGTTTTATCTTGTGTCCAAGAATTTAATTCCTTCTTTCTTGATCGCTTACTTTATAATTATGACGTTAATGACTAAGTAGACTAATTCTTGCACGGAAGAGTCGATAACATTGATTGCATAGTAATTTTGGTGGAGGGCGAGGTTGATTTTGTCAAATCTTTCTTTCTTGTCGTTTGACTTTTTTCTTTTCTCTTCTGCTGGCTTCGAAGTTTTTGGTTTCGATGACGATCGAACATCGCCGGTTGATACGGCCTTGTGCATGTTTCAAACAAGTACGAATATTATTGTAGTTATTATTAGTAGTAATAGTAGTAATCTAGCCAACATCTCTAATTAACTGGTAATCTATAAGTCGATCTCAACCTCCTTAGAAGACGGATCAATGCAGAGTTGTTGCGGAACGTTAGTATGTTTGGGTAAACATTTAGTCACCATTATGTTGCGAGAATCAACACTATGGTGAGTAAATAATTACGGGTTTTTGCAAAATTTATCCCACAAACAATATTGGTGGACTCAAAGAAAAATGAATAATACAAAACAATAAATATAAAACAAATGATGCATGTATTAACACAAAGAATTACATGTGACGAAAGGAAAAAAACATGAAACTAACTATATAGCAATAATATACTTGTTTGTTTGTGCGCGTGTCAGAGAGTGTAAAAGTCAAGAGAGAAAACAACGAAAATGAACGTTTCCCAGTGTGAGACACTTTACACAAGTGTGGCTACATCTGAAAGCCCGAGATAAAAAGCTGTAAAAGAGGCCAGGGAAAGAAACGCACTCATTTTCATGGGCTTTCATTTTTGTCACAAAATAAAGTGGTATGTGAAGAGGGCGGAGTGAAATGACTTAAAATCGACAAGTTTCTTTTTTCCATTTCATTGAAGCAGACGTTAAACACAAGAGAGTGGCATCGCCCACTATATCTTCCCTTTCTTTTCTTTTTGTTTTACATATTTCTATCATTTTCTTTTCTAGATCTGTTATTCTACTTTCATATTTTCTTTTATTTTGAAATGCACATTTTTTTTTTGCTTCTCACTTGTACTTAGTTTCTAGAATTATACTTATAGACTTTCTCCGCATATAAGACTTAAATAAAAGTTTTAGAGACTAATGTATCGTCATAAAAAAAACCCAAAAATGGAAAAATGAAATTTTCTTATTTATTTTAAAAATTAATGGTAGTTTGGGATTTACGTGCGATTTATGTGTTTACAGGTGATTATCTTCGGATAACGTCCTCAATTCAATTATACACCAATTTTGGCCTTTTAAAAATGCATGCAAAGATAATTAGTACGAAGATATATTTTGCATCTACTGATAAAAATTTATCTCTCTTAAAATAAAATCATGCTTATTATAAAACCCAGGTTGTGTGTGTGTGTGTGTGTGTACGTTTATATATTGGATCGGATTTCCTACATTTTTCAACCGATTTCAACAAAACTTCACAAGACTACGTAAAATTACCTTGCGGTGGTTCTGACAGTGCCAAAAATTCGAAAAACACAATTGTTTTTGCACAAAATCAATTTGAAAACACGATTAAGAAGCATCGCTTTCACGGAATGAAAGGGGGACAACTCATATCGAGTTATACTTATTATAAAACCCAGGTTGTTTGTGTGTGTGTCTGTGTGTGTTCGTTTATATATGGGATTGGATTTCCTACATTTTTCAACCGATTTCAACAAAACTTCATTTTTTTTGGCAGGTAGTGTTTCTTATTGTCTTGCACACTTTTTTCTTTATTTTTACATTCAGAATGCTTTAAAAATTCCATTTAGAAGACAATTGTTTATAATAAAATTCTATTCAATTGGTAGACTCATAACGATTGAAAACAATGCTTTTGTTTGAGTTTGACCAATTCGTAAAAAAAAAAACCCCCAAAAAACAAAAAAAAACTAATTAAGACATGCGTGTCTGTCAACCTTAAACAATAATCTCTGTCAATTTTATTTTTCAGTCTTTATGATGGCCGATACTTGATCTATCACTTACTGTTACATCCCCGGGCAACGCCGGGCTCTACTGCTAGTATACAATATTTGAAGAGTTCAATATTAGAAAGTTCTCGTGTTAGCATATAATAGTGAGATAGAGAAGAAAGTCCGTGTATGTATGTATGTATGTATGTATGTATGTATGTAAGTATGTATGTAAGTATCTCGTTGATAGTAGTAATCCTTTCGACTATTTGTGGGATTTTTAAGTGTCTTGATAATGTAGGGCATGAGAGAACGGGCGAAATTATTTCATCGACTCTCTGGTTCTTTTGCTTGGTCGTCTCTGACTGCTTTTGATACTTTTCCGAGAATTGCTTCTTGATTTCTGATTGGTTCACAGATGTGACTCATTTGGCAATCCCTTTTTCTTCACCTACATTTAGGAATGATAACCTTTTAGCTTCTTTTATTTATTTCTTTATTTTTTTCTTATCTTTTTGTTTTTATTTCTTTATGCCAAACCAAAATGATTTGCTTTTTTTTTTTAATAATGAACTTTTTATTTTTCTATCACTAGAGTAGCAATGATTTTAGACAAATGGCATTATCATAGATTAATATCAAGAGGACAAATTTAGTCTTCGGTTTAGTTTTTGATTCCAACGCAAAGCACATACCACTTGTGCTGTGGATGGACAATTTTGATTTATGGAAGTTTCACTTTAATAAATTATTTTATTAAGCGAGGATTTTTTAAAGAAAAAAATTCTGGTTTAGAAATGAATATTTCCTTACCTGTAATTTCTTCAGTTTTAGATGAAGGTGCATGAACGTCTGCGGCGGTCTGGTATCTACAACTGGCGTCACGTTGGCAAGCTGTGAAAAAGAATCAAGTGCTATAGCAAATCAATGGGATAGATAAATAGAAAACAAACTGAAATAGATCAGTAGTTGTCAACCATTTTGTCCAACGCACCCTTTTCATCATATATCAGAATGTCACTCCCTCACATTTGAAGATCGTCTGACTCAAAAGGTACATTCCAAATAATATGCATAGATTATTGAAAATCTTCATTCTTTTCTATATTAGTACATAGACATTTTCATGGATTGTTTTTATAGAGGAATTTTACAAATTTAATATCAATAGAAAATGCTGAGAGGTTTTTTAAACTTGAATACATGTACAGTAATTTGTTTTAATTCTTAACTAATTATTAAATAAACAAATTGAAGCATACTTCAATAAACAAAAAGTTTAATAGAATACCGGGGTATTGTAATTCCATAAACAAAAATCTGTAAATAAAAATCAAGAAAAACCAAAAGATTTGCCAACCTGACAATGGAATACTTAAGAGCTGAACTTCGAATGTCTACAGTCGTGGTTGACAACCTTTTTCAATATATGTCAGAATGTCATTCCACCTCTTTTCAAGATTGTCTGACTCAAAAGGTGCATTTCAAACAATATGCATATATTATTGAAAAATCTTCATTCTTTTCTATATTAATACATAGCCATTTTCATGGATTCTTTTTATCGAGGAATTTTACAAATTTAATATCAATAGAAAATGGTGATGGATTTTTTTTAACTCAAATACATACACAATGATTTGTTTTAATTCATAACTAATTATTAAATTTTGAGAGCCTTTTTCCTGATGACATTCAAAAAAGATTTTGTCTTTGTGTTGAGGATAAACATTTTGCAAATGTTGCTTCAACTTTGTTGGTCACAGACAATCATTCAACAAAACTTTGCAACAAAATACACACTAAGTCCTTTCTTCTCCATTCATAATGATGGATGTGAATCCATATTGAATATAAGAGGGCACTTTGATGTGAAGCAGCAGTTAGCAAGCTTGTCTTGCTAGATCAATTATGACTGAAAAGTGAGTTTGATCCTCTCTGGGTGCCCCATACTTTCAGACTTGTGCCATATCTAAGCGACGCTTAGAAAATCACCATATTGAACATCAGATTCATCAAACCATTGTTTTTTTTATAGTCATGATGGGTTCAAAATTCTGTAAATAAAATACAGGAAAAAGTGACAAAAAAAAAATTCACTGCCCTCCAAACCCCTGAAATGAAAACCTATGAGAGAAATTCTCCCTTGGTTAAGTACCCTGAGATCGACATAGATAGGTTTGGATATATATATATATATATATATATATATATATATATATATATATATAGATAGATAGATAGATAGATAGATAGATAGATAGATAGATAGATATGAACAGATTTAGATAGATATATAATGACAGAGTACACCCATACTAAAGCAAGTGGCTAATCCCTGGTGCAGCCGCCTGCTCAGGCATTTTTGTGTTTTTTCAACACCCACAGATCCCACCTATGGTTTATACTGCAACTGCTGAGCGAACCTTAGTTGCAGTTTCTGGGAGAGAGCACTTTATCAACAGTCAAGGACGTACGATTAAACATCTTGGTCACGATGACTTGCGACTTTACTCTAGCACAACTATCGACAACTTCCAAATAATTTCGTCTACCCAACAACACTCAAAGTTTGGGATAACCGGTGGTGTGATGTCCAGGTACATTCCAAAGCAAACTAATTAATCTGATAGATAGATAGATAGATAGATAGATAGATAGATAGATAGATAGATAGATATGCATAGGTTGTGATAAATAAGCACAGATTGATTTAGATAAATAGATAGATATACACAGACTGAGACAGATAGGTAGATATGCACAAATTTAGATAGATAGATAGATAGATAGATAGATAGATAGATAGATAGATAGATAGATATGAATACAATTTGATAGAGGGATATGAATAGGCTGGTAGATAAAGAATAGACTTAGCTAGCTAGCTAGATAGATCAGTGACAAAAAATCCTCAAAACAAAGATAGTCAAAAACACAAGCTACAGTTCAAAATCCTAAACAGTTTCAGTGAAATTTACAATGTAAAATAAATTATTTTGGTTCATGTTTAATACATGTTCCAGTTTATATGCGTGTATTCTTAGGTGCCAGTTACAAGGGGAGGTCTTAATAAGTAGGGGGATGGGAATATTTCTCAGTATGCAATAAACAGAAAGTCTTGATAAAGTGGGTCAGAAAATCATTTAAAAATTCAAAAATGCAAAATTATTAAAATGGGTTGTTTTAATATTAATAAGCTCGGCGATGGCGGAGAATTACCTAAATAAATAAACGTTCCCACTGATATTTGACGCCTGAAACTCATGGCTGTTCGATTGACCTTTCTTCCACTATTTCTATAATTTCTTTTCGTTTAGGGCCTTTTTAAAAATTCTTGAACAATTCTTTCCAAATATCCACTGTTTCGTAATTAGTGCATAGATAGATAGATAGATAGATAGATAGATAGATAGATAGATAGATAGATAGATAGATATGAACAGATTTAGATAGATATATAATGACAGAGTACACCCATACTAAAGCAAGTGGCTAATCCCTGGTGCAGACGCCTGCTCAGGCATTCTTGTGTTTGTTCAACACCCACAGATCCCAGATAGATAGACATGAATAGACTGTGAGATATAAAGAACAGACTTAGATAGACAGATATGAATAGAATGTGATGGATAGATAAGAACATATTGAGATAGATAGATAGATAGATAGATAGATAGATAGATAGATAGATAGATAGATAGATAGATAGATAGATAGATTTAAATAACATCATTTTTCAATAACGGGCATTTTTTTTTTTTAAATAACAAGTGTGTGAAGGCGAGAAAGAAATCAAATCTCGTTTTAGGCAAGAGCAGAAAAAACATTGTCAAATGATCGACTGATTTGAGCAAAAGTGAAGCAACAACAATAATAAGAAAGTCCTAATTAAATAATTTCGTCGAAATGTTCAACCGTTTGAATATTAATAAATAACCGTCAAAATCGATTAGCAACACAAACAAAACAATCGGACCGACAATCATTCAAAACAGACGGACAGATAAAAAAAAAAACAAACAAAAAAAAAACAGACAGAAGTGTTTATTTATAATGGCGTCTCGGTTAAAGAATGACGTCTCTGAGGAATGAAACTTCGTTTAAATAAGTTTCGTAAAAGTAAAAATAATAAACACGAGACAATAGTCGGCTGATTTAACGAAACATTTTTTCCTTCACTAAATACTTTATGACAATAGTGATCTGCTATCTGCAAAATGTTGAGCATGTCAATTCATGCGCTCTTTTCTATGGATGTGAATCCATATCGAATATGACTCATTATACTGTCAGCTTTTGACATTCATGATTGACTCCAAATTCCGTAGATATTTTGTAATGCTGTCCGGGGTGGTTACTGAAATAATAACTAGAAAGGCAACTTACAAAATACAAGGGTTTAATTTAACCGAGAACAATACAAGTAGATATTTACAAGGTCGTCTGAAGCTGGAAAGCAAGCGATATTTATCCGAACACCCCACGTGGCAGGATGTGGCACAAGGACAATTTTTATGTGGGTGATCCGAGAACGTAGGCACGGGCAAAAAATCCCCGTAGATCACACATACACGGGGTCGGGTTTCAAACTCCCCAGATGAGACTCTGCCCTTCGGCATAGTCTCGTCTGCGTTTCTCTATGCCTTCGGATAGTGTTCGACGTCTTCATGCTTTCTAGAAAGCAAGGTTATTTACCTTACCTCCCAGCGAGGCAGGATGTGGCACAATGCCGTTTTTTAATGCGGGGCAAAACCGAGCCCGTAAGCTCGGGTAAAAATTCTCCGTAGATCCCGTATACACGGGGTCGGGTAGCTGTCTACCACCCCAGATGAGACCCTGCCCTTCGGCATAGCCTCGTCTGGGTTCCTTCATGCCTTCGGGCAGAGAGTTCGACGTCTTGATGCTTTCTGGAAAGCAAGCTCCCTGAGACCAACACCACAGATGCTTATATTCCTACTGAAACAGTCCATTTAATAGAGGTGTATCAGTTCTTTGTACACTGAGGGTTATCAACAAAATAAAAAAAATTAAAATATTCCCCTCCCTAAACCCTAACATAAATAGATAATGAACAAACTGAACTAGATAGATCTATAGTGGATCTAGGAAGGCTGCGTGAATATTTAAAATTAGATTAAGAGATGGCCAAATGGTAACGATATTCAATCACGACAAAAAAATACATGTTTGAAACAACAGATTAAATTTTATATACACAATTTACAATTTCTTTGTAATGATGTGTGCAAAAGTATATTTAAGAGAAAAAGTTCTTTGCTGGTTTGGAAATGTTCAATGTCGAAAAGGGCTGTCTGCCTTTGAATTAAAAGATTGAATTTAACTTAGACAAAAGTTCTTTTCTCTGAAAGATATTGAGTGAAAAAGTTTGTTGTGTAAATTTTTCTAATCTCTCATAAAGAAAGTTTGTTTCTTTGGCGGTTATTTGACACATAATTCCCGTATGTATCTTTCGCGTGTGTGAATCTCAAATGCGACGAAAATTCGTTTGCTATTTCTATTTATAGTTTTCTTAACAACGAAATCGGCTCCAATCGGGCTTGGTAGCTTTTGAGAATTTTTCTGAAAAATGCGTGGGCGAATGTTGTATATTTTATTTTTTAGCCAATAGGATTTCTTGAAGCATTTAAATTAGGGAAAGATTTTTTTACGTCGGCCGAGCCTACTTTTGCACAAATTTTGATTGAATTGTTATAGAAATTTCTCGAGTATCGATCTTTAGTAACTCTCATTTCAATTTCAATCATTTTCTTAAATTTCATAATATAAAATAATTATATTATGAAATTTAAGAAAATGATTGAAATTGAAATGAGGGTTACTAGAGATCGATATCAAATAGACTGAATGATATAGATAGATATGCACAGATTCAGTTAGATCGATCAGTAGATAGATAGATAGATAGATAGATAGATAGATAGATAGATAGATAGATAGATAGATAGATAGAAATGTTCACTGATTTAAATCTAGCTAGCTAGTTAGCTAGATAGATAGATACAAAAATGATCGATTTTTTTAAATATTAATAAAGAACCGGCAAAATCGATTAGCAGCACAAATGAAGCAATCGATCGACAATCAACAGATGGACATATAAAAAAACAGACAGAAGTGTTTATTAATGGTGTCTCTGTTAAAGAATGACGTCTCTGACAAATGATACTCCGTTTAATAAGTTTCATAAAAATAATAAACACGAGGCAATGGTTGGTTGATTGAATGAAACATTCTTTTGTTCACTCACTAAATGCTTTATGACAATAATGATCTGTTATCAACGTTGAGTATGTCAATTCAAGAGCTTTTTTCTATATTGAAGCTCTTAGCACAATCAATATATCTAATGAATTATTATTATTATTATTTTCTGAAGCATTATCAACCATTATTAATTATTGATTCGTATTTCTTTCATCTTAATTTCAGTTCTTTCCATCGTCACGAATAATTAATGGTCGTATATTGACAGGCAAAGTAATCTTTGCTTCGCCTGTTATTCTACGAACATTAAACAGCACGGATCGTGAATAAAGTTTAGGAGGGATGGATGGGTAGTTTAACGATTATTGGCGCGTATAGTGGAATCGTTGAACCAAATTAATATCCAGGCGATAATCCTCATAATACTAATTCCCTCCCACAACCTCATTCATTCAATTCACATCATACACCTAATTCATAGTAGATAAGTTCATCTATCGTCCGGTTCTCACTCTTTCTAGGTTTTTTGAATAGGAGTAGAGGTTCATCCCTTGTTTTCTATTTAGGATTGAGTTGCTGGTTCCTTCTAAAATCGACCCCAAATCTATACTTTTAACGTTTCCACCTAAAACTCAGAACTTTTATTTACTATTTATTTACATTTTTTCCTCAATAGTAGTAGATAGGTTCGCCTATCATACGGTCCCCACCCACAGTATTTTGAATAGGAGCAGAGGTTTATCCCTTGTTTCATGTTCAGGATTGGGTTTCTGGTTCCTTCTAAAGGCTATTACAGCTCTATACTTCTAACGTCTCCGCCTAAATTCTGAAATGTTATTTATATATTTTCTTCCTTCAGTAAGAGTAGATTGGCTTTTTGAATAGGAGTAGAGGTTTATCCCTTGTTTAGGATTGGGTTTCCGGTTCCTTCTAAAATCCAGCTCAACTTTATACTTCTAACGTCTCCACCTAAATCTCCGAACTTTTATTTACTCTTTATTTATATTTTTTCCTCAATAGGAGTAGATAGGTTCGCCTATCGCCCAGTTCACATACCTCCCTGGTCTTTTGAAGATGAGTATAGCTTTATTCTTTGTTTCCTTCTTAGGAATCCGGTTCCTTCGAAAGTCTTCTGCTTATCTTTCACTTCGGGTGTTCCCCTTGCGTCTTGGTGGTTTATAACCTTGCTTGGGGCGGTACCACTTACTCTGTAACCCTACATCTCGAGTGACTCTTGGAGCTTGTGCACAGTGAATATCATTGTAAAAACAATGAATCATTCCAATTTTATTAGCAACCTTCTACCTTGAGTGATTTTCCAACAGTGTATTTGATAAATCTATTGAGGTTGTGTCATAAGTAATTTCTGTTGTAATGACGAAAGTATCATCATAACTATTACTCATGCGTGGCAACTCAGAATAAACTTGGAGTACATTAACATACGACAATGTTCAACGCAAAAGATAATGATGTGAAAGGATAAATCCCCACAACTGATACCGAAAGCTGAGTTTCATAGAAGAAAGCTAATATACGTGTGGTTGGATCGCCAGGCGATTATTCATCTAGAGTTCTTTAAACGCAATGAAACACTAAATGAATATTTGTCCGTCCAGTAGCAGCAACCTATCTATAAAAGTTTGGTTGAAAAGCGCTCCATGCTCGTTAATAGAAAAAAAATGCTGTTCTCCTCCATGACAACACAAGGTCGCATACAGACATAATAGCACACAGACAAAAGAAAATTTAGAACTCGATTAGTCTGTTCTTCCCTCCCCGCCATATTCACCTGACCTCTTGAACTTGCACCAACCGATTATTACGTGTTTGAATCGCTGCAAACATCAACATCTACATCAACATCTTTTTCACGCCATAACCTTCAGAATTTTACTCAAAAGATATCGAGCAGTTGAATCAATGGTCGCAAAAGATCCTATTGTGGAGTTAACCCCACTTACCTTCCTAACTAAAAAACCGTGAGTAGGGGACGCTTTCTGAACCTATAAATACACTGTAATATTTTCTATCATTCTCTTTTTATTATTTTCCTTAGACATGCTAAGATGTAGGTCTATAGATATTATTGTCTTTGTTACTCGCAACAATGTAATTTTGTCTTGTTAATAATACATTATCGTTTGTTTGTATATATATTGGTTTTAGTTGTTTCTTTGTAATTTTATTAACCGAACATCCATGCAAATCCGCCATTTTTGTTGTGGGATAAACATTCCAGGAGACACGCGATTTTCACTTAAACACTCGTACATACGTAGCTTAGATGTGGCACAAGGCCCAAAGTATGGAACTCTGAGTGAAGATCAAACTCACTACTCAGTCGTAATTGATCTAGCGAGACACGCTTCCTAACCATTACACCACATTGGAGTGCTCTGATAAGATCCTATCTTATAATATAAACCATATATCTCTAGAGATATCCCTAGATATAGACAGTGGAACGAAAACAATCTACACTCTTAGATTAAATAAAGGGTTCAATTCAGAATTCCCTGTAGGTTACTCGGATAACAATAACAAGGGTGAGGACAATAGTCAGCATGTCAATAATATAAACATATTCTTTTTTTTCCTGACATTTCGGCGCTGTTGCATTAAATGTTAGTGAGTGACATATTTATTTACACATGCAATCTTCTTCTTTTTCTTCTTTATCTTCCTCTGTGTAGCGTGTCTTTTCAGGACGTAAGCGATTATGGCTCCCCACAATTTATTGTCCTTTGTAGGTCTTAGCAATGTTTTTATCTTTTGCTATCTCTCTTAATCCCAGTTTTGCCAGTATTTGACACAAGCTCGTTAAGTTATGAAAGTTAAAAGGTTGTAGGATTTGTGTGTATTTTAGGTGAAGATGATAGAAGAATGCAAAAACTCGAGTTTCTACTACGGATGTTTATTCTTTTTATGGTGATTGTAGTGAAACAAAATTCTTAATGTCTCTTGGGTATGTCCGTTTTCGTTTTTGGTTCAGAAGTAAGTTAGGATAACAATGATTAAAATAGTCAAGCTCAAGTCAGCTTTGCGCTGAGATGGAACAACCAATTCACTTAATTCATGAGTAGGGCTGCCAAAACACATCTGAACGACGTCACTGGAAAGTGGAAAAGAGAGAGATTCTGTCCTTTCCGGAAGTGGGATTCTAAAATCGTTTATGTGACCAAAACCCCTTTCCGTTTTCTTTATAACTTTCATCATGGGAAAATTAATTTCTTTTTCTTTTTTTATTCTTTATAATTATTTTATTTATTGGTTTTATTTCATTAACTTGGATTATCGTGTTTGTTTTTGGCAAATTGCATCAACATCAGTTTTGTCAGGAAAGGACTAAAAGCAGACAAAGATATGAAATATCTGAACAAAGTTTAAAAGATGGGATATGTGAAAAACAGATGTTTATATTTTGTTGTCAACGTTTTATTCTTTAAGAACATCATCAGAACAACCAAAAAGACTAAGCAAGAGTCGTTACCATGGAAACTTAGAAATATTGTGGTTAATCTGAAAATTTAACAGTTAATAAAATTAAAAATATCTGTGAATAAATCAATGAAATTTTTACACATAGATTGATTCGTTTTCTACGGCTCTTGCAGGTTATTTAAAGCCAAATTTTTCTTTTTTTATATTGTAAGAATTTATTTGGTGGAGAGATAATAACGGTTTAGTGATAGAATTTTGACCAATTAATCCATAACTGGGGGGGGAGAAGAGTTGGATTCGTCACTTTCTCAAGGGTATTTGCGCGTATATGAAATTCTGACTAGAATTGGAACTCGGCTTGCGGATTAACAATTTCGACCCATTACAGCACCCGCACCTTCGAGCTTACAGCACCTCGTATTCCCAAACGGTCACCCATCTATCTAGGTACTGACCGTGCTCAACGTTGCTTAACTTCGGTGATCGTACGGGAACTGGTGTTTCGACATAACTTGCGATAAGCAACATTGATTTGGAAATTTGTGCAAAAATCAAATAATTATCGAATTTTAATTAAACTTTCAGGAATTATTCACAAATGAATGAAAGTATTTTTTTAAATATTTGTTTTTTTTAGAAAATCTTATTAAAAACATGTTTATTTATATACATTAATTTGTTTTTTTTTTCTGTTAATGTGTGTATACTGGGGATGAATTTTACCTGATTTTTAATTGTAATTATTTTCTTACTTGAGATTAATTTTTAATCTATAATGTATTTTTACCTGTCATTTTTTTTTCTGTGATTACTTTTTACGTTTGATATATTTTTACCTGTGATGTTTTTTTTAATGTGATTAATTTTTACCTGTGACAAATTTTTGCCTGTAATGTGTTTTTACCTATCATAAAACTTTTGCCTAGAGTACATTTTTCATTTATGACGATTTTTTAAAACTGTAACACACCTTTACCTGTGCTGTGCCGAAGGGGCGCGGTTTATAGGAGTCTTCACCATAATGCGTACATTTGGCTGTGATACATGTGCTTGGTATACCCTTATAAGATTGGGTGTCATGATGCGTACACTGAGCTTCGTATATTTGTATCCCTGTGTCACATTGTGAGTAACCTGTTCTCACAGTCAATACTAATAATAATGATTGATATATTTGAACACTTTGCAACACTTCCAGAAGAGCGCAAATTCCAGAGAAAAAACACAATACTGTTAATAGTATTTCGACAGAATATCTGTCTTCTTCAGGTTATGCATAAAACGAGAATGCATAGAAGTATAAAGAATAGAAACTCATGTACAAATGTTTTTCTTGAATAAAATATTCCGGTTGCACTTGTTCCGTAGATTACTAGCACAACCAATATTGTTATTCTCAAGACAAGCGGCGTTTTTCTAAATAAATTTGTGTTCTTTGTACGTGTATGCATTCTTGTTTTATGTATAACCTGAAGAAGACATATGTACTGTTGAAATACTGTTAAACATTGTATATTTTTTTGGAAATCACGCTCTTCTGGCAGTCTTGCATTAATAATAATAATAATGTCATTTTTGTAAATAGTATTATATAGTCGGAATATGGAAAAAGTGAGTGTCTGAGGCAAAATTATAATCTTTGGTAGCGAGCATTGGAAGACAAATTAACCGACGTGAGGTCTCAACTTTGTATATAGTCATTTACTAAACACTGCTTACATGTGGCACAAGGCCGAAAGTATGAAGCACCCAGCGAGGATCGAACTCACTATTCAGTCGTAATTGATCTAACAAGACAAGCTTGCTAACCATTCGCTTCATTTTCGCCTATAAGACTCAGGGTGATATTGTTTATCTACTTTTTAAAAAAAGTTTGGTCAGCGGGGTGAGATTGATCTTTTCATCCCAGCTCGCTAATGGAGAAGTAAATCAATTTTCTCCCATCTGTTAAGTTGGGGGTGAGGCGTTGAGCAAGTCTTAGCAACAGCTAAGCGTCTCGTGCCAGGGATACGGTGAAACCAGTGGCAGCAGATTGGTGGATTGTAGTTGCTGAATGCTGTCTGCATCAGAATGTTTGGTCAGCATTGCTCTCTTCAGGAAGGACGATGAGTTCACCAGCAGAACCAACGGTTAGCGAGACCTAAAACAGAGTTGCTACTGCGGGGCATTTGGCTAATGCCTCCAATATTATGCTTCGGCTTTCCATGGGATCAGTTCCTACTCAAACCAGGGAGTACTGTTTTTGGTGCGCGAATACAGTTTAATCCAATACAGACATTGTGTGTCTTCGTCGAAGACGACGGACAGTCGATGATTATTATTATTTTTTAAGGTGCGTAATCTATGATGTCATGTATAGTAACTCAATTTAATGAAAATATTTTAATTTAATGTCTTATTAAAATAAAACGGGTTATTGTTTTAATAAAAGACTGAAAGCCAAGACCTATATTAGAATACAGATATCTAGCTGTTGGGTTTGTAAAAATTCGTCTGCTTCTATATAGGGAGAGATTGGTTACATGGTGTTAGGCGGTCACTCATTGGTTAATAAAACCACGTGGGCTCAGAAAAAGCTGACCACCAGCAAAAAAAACAAAAACATCCTAATGTTTACTATTTTCATTTCTGTTCCTTTTCGTGTCAATATATTTTTTAAAACAAATATATTTTTAGAAAAATTCTCAGACTCTGTTTTTTAGCAATTCATCTCTCTTCTGACCTAGCCCAGGTGGTTCAACGGGGAAAGAACTAACTTGTAAAATTCAATACAGTCAAAACCAAACTAATAACGTTCGACCACCACCGAGTCGACCTTAAACTTTCACCTATCATATCGCGGTTATCGGATCTGGGAAATGTTGTTCTTGGCCCAAAACTGCTGCCCAAGTCATGGTCACTGATAGAACCTCTGTGGTGTGGTAAGACGACCACACTCTACACACTTGCCTTCCAAGCACAGCTATGAACAACAAAAGTGAGCGAGAACGTTATAAGTTAGTGTGCCTTCGTGACAGTGTTCAAGGTCAAGCGGCCAAACGGCTTCAGTCTGCGTACTTGAACTCCGTTACCATAGCAATAGCCCCAATACCTTTTCTGCCTAAACCCATTTCTTGTCTTTTCTTACGCTCATACAACCCCATACAGTAACCCTTCGCCTTGAGTGGCTCTTTGTCTTGTTCTGGGTGAACATTAGTATTAAAAAAAAAATCAAAACAAAAACATTTTAGGGGTCCACACATATTTTTAAAATATTAAGTGAACCGTGGGGAAAACAGTTGGAAAATCTCCGGCTTCGTCAAATACAAATATTACAGATAACTTCTCTAACTTTAAAAGACAAGATACTAATGAGCCTGTCTGAAGTTTTATCTGTCGTTTGTGTTAGTAATATTAATATGAAGTTTGTAGATAGATAGATAGAAGGGGAGAGAGAGAGAATGGGACAGAGAGAACCATAGTGGATAAAGACATCAACACTGTATCGCGATAAGCGGTTTCATTTCTTAACTGACCATCCAATTATATTCTATAGTTGTGAGCGTTGGGGATAAAATTAACTTACTCAACCTTTCCAAGACAGAAACAATGACAACCTGGAATTAGAATGAAATCATTGATGGCACCAACACTGAATCTATCATAAAAATTCTAGAATGTAGAATTAGTAAATACTAAACACTTCAGATACCTCGGTGTAATGGATACTTACAACAAATTAAGTATAGGAGAAAAAGAAATTGAACATAAAATAGGCTGTGCCAGAGGTAGTTTCGCCTAACACTGCAAATTGTTACATCAACTTGAAGTCATGTCTTTAAATAGCCTCGTCAGATTGAGACTTTCATATGGACTGCATGCATGGCGCCAAAACCATTCAGAAATATCTAAACTGTCGGCTGGATACAACAGCGTCCTAAGATTAATGGTGAAAAAAGGCTTTGAGCGAGTGAAGCCTGAAGGTCTTGGCAATGATCATCCTTGTGGACTGGCGCTACAGAATCATAAACAAAGAACTGTATCAAATAACAGAAGGACTACCAACAGCAGCAACAACAAAAATGGACAGCACATGTAACCCAAAGAGTAAATAATGACGTAATCAAAATGTTAACATTCCACGCAACTTCAACCAGAATGATAGGAAGGAAACGTCACTCAGTACTGGACAAACAAAACAAAAAAAATGAGTGAATGAATGTTCATTTTTTCTTGATTTCGCGAGTGGATAGGTGGGTGGGGGTAGAGTTTATGAACAAGTGACTTCGCCCAATTCAAATATTATAAATAAATTCTTTAAGCTTATCAGACAACCTGTCGATGAGTTTTCAGAAATTCTATCTTTTAGATTTCGGTTAAATTTTAGGCAACCAATGCTTTCAAGACAAAGCAGAGAAGTACACAACAGGTTAATAGCTTGAAGCGAACCCCAGAATTAGCATGAGATGAACTTGACAGAAGAGTGAAAAAATGAAAAAGAGCTCTTAGAGCCATTGAAAAAAGAATGGAATCAATTATCAAACTTATACTTTGAGAAATGTTTGCAACGAATGTCAAAAAATTGTGCTGCAGTAATCAAGGCTAAAGAAGGATATTTTGACGAGAGCAAAATTTAATCCTAAAATGCTTTTTTTTTCTTTTTGTCATAATAAAATTTCTAATAAAAAATCATGTCTCACTTTTTTTTAACCATGTATATTAATTTTCTCTTATTTAAAATACAAAATAACTTCGTTGGGGGACAATTTAAAATATTTAACTTCTGAACTGTAGTGTATGTACAGTTTGACATGAATGTAACGGAAATAGTCGCTATTAGCAGTGAAAATGAAACGAATCAGACGATTCGTAACTTAAGTCAATCTCCCCATTATGGCGCTGAATGAATTCAAAACAGTAGAAATGTGATACACCGTATGGGGTTGAGGTTAGAGGGTAGGCCAAGTGGAAAAACAAGGGGTGACCATTTTTTAATTAACCGTCCTATTTGGCTCAGATTCAATATTCAGAGGAGAGTCATTTATGCTGAGACAAACTTCGGGACGGGAATATTCTAAATAGCACAAACACTAACAGATTATACGAGAAAATGGCGACACTTCGATGTGGTGTAATAATGGTTAGCAAGCTTGTTTTACTAGATCAATTATAAATTTGTAGTGAGTTCGATCCTCACTGGGTGTCCCATATTTACGGCCTTGTGCCAAATCTAGGCTACACTTAGAAAATCAGTATATGAGGAAATGATTCTGAACATAGTGATGATAAATCAACAGTTGATAGAAAAACAAGAATGATTAGAGGGCTTTCTTATATATACAGTACCCTCCAAAATTATTAGAACGGCAAGGCCAATTTCTTGGTTTTTGTTGTTCACTCAAGACATTTGGGCTTGAGATCAAAAAATTAATATGAAAATGAATATGAAAACTGACAAGAGTTCAGAATTTCAGCTTTTATTTTCTGGTATTTACATTTAGATGTGTTGAACAACTTAGGATATACC